TTTTTGTTGTTTGTTGTTGTTGTTGTTTTGGAGTTAGGGGTGAGGAGGTTCCCAGCCTGGAAAGACATGCATTTTGTACATGCTATTTGAATTCCTAATTCTCATTGGAAACTGTAATGGAAAAGCTCAACACAGCATGACAACAGAATAGTGCTTAACAGTTACCAGTGTCAATATTAAACCTAAAAGAATTGAACTGTATGATATCTTACTTTTTTTTTCTTTTTATTTTTCACTGCTTAGGGGGAACATCATCAAGACAGAAAGGCTTTCTAGGATGCATACGCTCCCTACACTTGAATGGGCAGAAATTGGACCTGGAAGAGAGGGCAAAGGTCACATCTGGAGTCCGGCCTGGATGCCCAGGTCATTGCAGCACTTATGGTAGCATCTGCCACAATGGGGGCAAGTGTGTGGAGAAGTACAGTGGGTACTTCTGTGATTGCACCAATTCACCATATGAAGGACCCTTTTGCAAAAAAGGTACAGTAGATGCCTCTGTTTCATCCCCGTGCTGTATTGCAGTACCTATAAGCCATGATCAAGTCATGCCCTTAGACACTCCTTAAGTGATCTTTTACCTTCTTCAATTTTGCTCTGTTTAAAAACTCTGTGTGGCCCCTCAACATAATTACATACAGCCATTTTCACTGTGTGTGGACACTGGCACTGAGACCGAACAGGATGGATAGTAACAGTGCAACACGCTCTCCTTGGCTGAGGCCAGCTGAGCACTGGGAGAGGTGGACTTTCATCTCTGTCGTATCAGCCTGATCTCGAGGGATGCACTAATCTTTCCAGTCCCAGTTCCTTAACCCATGCATGTAATGGCAGCATTATAGATTGTACCCCGGAAGAGTCTTAGTGATGCTTGAGCCATTTTCAAGTATTTTTACAACAGGGAACTTATAGGTAAGTCAGTAGAAACAATACCATGCATCTAGTAAAATCTCCCTATTATGCAGGTGATGTGAGTGGAGTCTGAAGCTTTAAAAGCCCTGCCTGGAGATTCACATTTGGTTCATCAAGGGGCTGGGAATGGAACACAGGGATCAAAATCCCTGTCCCAGGGTCTTTCTATATCCTCTCCTGTCTTATGAATTCATTGCATTGATAAAACTAACCATGATGGATGTATACCTTGAACAAGGAGTGATGGTCATGGTGTAAATTCTCTAGAAAAATTCAAAATAACTCTACAAACTATAAAATCACATTATTCAATATAAACACTTAGTATTTTTTCAAATACAAGGACAAAAGATTAGGTCTCCTATCTATCTTTGCAGGATTTTAAAGTTTATTTTATTGATGGGAAAAAAAATGTTTGTTGAGCAAATAATGTAAACAATATTTCAAGAGCAGCATTTAAACTATTAAAATAAAATGTTTTAATTACTTTGAAATACGATTTACATTTAAACAGTGATGGCAATTATGCATAATTCTTGTCAATTCATTAAAACGCATTTCCCAAACACCTCTACCAAACAATGCTTTATTTAGTCCAATTTACTGCTGGAACTTAAAAACAATAGACAAAAGAAGAACACCCAGTGTTCTCATTGAAGGACTCTGTAATTTGAGCTCTTCATAATTTACACTGGCCTTCTCCACAGTTAGATTGAATTACTTGCTTATTATTGTTGAGAATCATTATACTCCTTGGGAGAAAATGAATGGTACAAATTTTAAGGCCAACAGTGTGTTGGGCCCTGCATGGAGTTTGACATAAAGTGGCCCCATCCCAGTAGGTGTTGACCATGGGCTAAGACAAGCCAAGTGCCACTGGATTTTCACACTGGGGCAGGTATCTGAATAACTGCCCCTAAAAAAATTAAATGCCACCCTTAGTCTGGTCCCACATGGCCAGAAGAAGCAAATACAGAATCAACACCATCAGGCCTTCTCACAAAGTTAAACTAGCATTGTTCTATAGGATCTATACCCAAGTCCTGTGTTTGGAATTTAAAAAAAAAAAAAAAAAGAAGAAGAAGAAGAACAGTGTGATTCTACATTTCTCCAGGGACATTGCTCAAACATCTCATAGATCATATTGTTCCAAATTTAGCTTAATTTTTAATTGGCTTTTGTGGTTTTTTTTTTTCCTGAAACAACTCTGATTAATTATCTTCTGTCCGTATCACCATATCTTTTAGCAGCATATGTTGAAATAGCCTCTGTGCTCTCTCCCCACTTTTTACTTCAATCTATAAGCAAAATAGACAAATATGTGCTTAGCCTTTTCAGCCTGCTTCATATTTCACAGTTCCAAACTTTCTCCTCTTTCTCATAAATCTAAGGAAATGATTCCCTTTATATGCAGTAGCTGCAAAGTATGTAGGATGAATCTTTTAACCAAGCCTTTTAGCCATGCCAGTTACCTGGGGGAACTGGAATGGAAATGAGAGTCACTAGCTAGGAGATGATCCTAAACAAGGGTGCTCACGATTGGGTTAGTCTTCCATGTTAACTTCCCAGGGCATATGTATTTTACGGAGTGTAAATACTAGAAATATATGGGGTGGAATTACCAATGCCTGGGCCAGAACTATAATCCATTGACCTACTCTCTGTTTCTGATTACAGTACAGAGTAATAATAATCATGCAATTAAATAGTAATTATTGACCACAACATACATTTCTCTTGGCCAACCTAGTAGGGAAGATATTAACATATTGAGAACATTGAAATTCACAGAGGTCGAATGACTCCCTAATAAATGTCAGGGCTGGAGACCCATCCAGCATCTTTTTGGTTTCTTTTTTCTCTTTAACACCCTAATTTCATTCAGTATAGGAATATGGTAATAAGATTCATTTTTTTTAATGTTTTGCGTGTGTCTCTTTTTCTTCCCTAAAATCCCCCCTTTTAAATTGTATAATGCCATGATTTTTAGCAATTCACAAAAGTTGCACAACCATCGCTATTATCTAATTTCAGCATATTTTCATCACCCTAAAAAGAAATCTTATACATATTAGTAGCTACCCCTCCTTCACCTCTCCCCTCTGTGCCTGGAAAAAACTGATTTATTTTCTGTCATTATGGATTTACCTATTCTGGATATTTCATATAAATGGAATCATACACTATGTGGCCTTTTAATGTGTAGTTTCTTTCACTTAGCATAATGTTTCCAAGGTTCATCCATGTTGTAGCACTTAACATTTCAGTATTTTGTTCCTTTTTTATTTCCAAAGAGTACTTTATTCCATTATGTGGATGCAACACATTTTGTTTATGCATTCATCAGTTGATGGACAATGGGATGTTTCCGTTTCTTTGGCTATTATAAATAATGCTGCTATTAACATTCAGGTACATATTGTATGGCTTTATCTTTTTCTGTTCTCCTGGGTATATACCTAGAAGTGGGATTACTTGGGTCATATGGTAATTAACTTTTTGAGGACACTGGCAAACTGTTTTCAAAGTGGCTGCTCCATTTTACATTCTTACCAGCAAAGTGTAAGGATTCCAATTTCTCCACATCCTCACCAACACTTGTTATTATCCATCCTTTTGATAAAAGACATCTTATTGTGACTGTGTGAAATAGTATCTCATTGTGGTTTTGACTTGCATTTCACTAATGACTAATAACATTGGACATCTTTTCATGTTCTTAGACAAAATGTTTAAAGTGTTTGCCCATTTTTTGATTGAGTTATTTTTTTCTTTTTATTGTATAGTTGTAGGAAATCTTTGCATATTTTTAATTCAATTCTCACGTTAGATATATGCTTTGCAAGTATTTTCTCCCTTTTCATTTTCTTGATAGTATCTTGTGAAGCACAAAAGTTTTAATTCTTATAACATCTGGTTCTTACTGTTTTCTTTTTGTTGCTTGTGCTTTTGGTATTATGTCTAACAAATCATTGCCTCACTGAAGGTCACAAAGGCTTATGGACATTGTTTCTTCTAAGAGTTTTATAGTTTTGCTTTTACATTTAGTCTTTGATGCAGTTTGAGTTCATTTTTGTAGATGGTGTGATATAGGGGTTCAGCTTCATTCTTTTGCCTGCAGATATCCAGCTATTCTAACACCATTTATTAATGTGTACTTGTCTTTAGCCCACCTGCACCCCCACCATTATATGAAGAATCTGTATATGGCTGTCATAGTGGTGTCATTTGTTATTTTTTTCTAATTAAAAAGTTAGACAATGTATTTGGAATTCTATTTGGAAATATATTTGGGAACCTAGAAAAAAATCTAATTACTCAAATAGACATATTAAAAAGGAAATCTGATTTGCTTCTAGCTCTTTTCTTTGTACTTAATATAGCTGCAATAATTCTGTATTTCATGTCTACATTTTATATCAAATTTTCTTTATTTTATTTTATAGAGATTTCTATATAATTCATCAGTTTTAATGATTGCAATAAATTCCCACTGGTGGGATTGCCTCTGCTTACTTAACCCATTCTATTCCCAGAGCAGTTTAGCTTAGCAATAGTGGCATCATTCTGCACTTGATCTGCCTAAGTTCAGATTCTGGCTCATCTACAGTCTACAGTGTGTGATGCCACTTATGTAACTCACCTCCCAATTTCTTGGTTTTCTCATCTATAAAATTAGAAAATTCAAAAATCCATCACAGAGGGTTGTGGTGACATTTAATAAGCATTTCACAAAGCACTTGGCATAATGCCTGGCAAATAAAGTCTCACTAAGTGCTTGTTCTTATTATTGTTTTGGAATTTTATTTTATTCTTTTTTTTTATTTTTTTCAAAGATTTTATTTATTTATTTGAGAGAGAGAGATAGAGACGATAGAGGGAGCATGAGCCGGGGGAGGGTCAGAGGGAGAGGAAGAAGCAGACTCTCTGCTGAGGAGGGAGCCCAACATAGGGCTGGATCCCAGGACCTAAGCTGAAGGCAGATGCTTAATTGACTGAGCCACCCCGGCACCCCTGTTTTGGAATTTTAGATTGCCCCAACTTTTGCACATAAATAATGCTGTGATAAACACGTGGATTGATTATTTTCTTGCTAATGGAACTTCAGTGAAAAAAATAGTATGCATATGTAAGTATGCCTTACCAGTTGCCAAAAACCTGTTGAAAAGTTCTTTAATACTTACCTTCCTGCCAGTGTGTATCACTTTTTTTTTTTTACTTTTCTTTACAAAAAGACCCAATTCTTGGTGATAATAGGGAGAAGAGTTTCAGAATCCTCATGCACCCATTATCTAGCTTCAAAAATGATCAACTCATGACCATTTTGATTTCATCTATATATTCACATCTTCTCCTCCTTTATTATTTTGAAGCAAACTTCAAATATCACATCATTTCATCTATAAATATTACAATATGTATTGCTAAAATATAAGAGCTTATTAAAAACACAGATCCATAAGACCATCATCATCAGAAAAATGAATAATGTCTAATATTATGAAATATCCACTCAGCATTCAAATTGCCAGTTGTTTCATATATTTTTAGTTTGATGTTCTGCTAAATTAATCACACCTTGACTGATTTCTAGGTAATCACTAGCCTACTCATTACCTTACGCTTATTCTAATTCTAAATTCTATCACTATTATTTAGACCAGCTATTGTCTATTGAGTTCCTGCTATGTGTTGTGCTTCTACATAATGTCTTCCAGTCCTTCTACCTACTGCAAGATTGAATCCATCTCTACTTGTACATGAGCTGAGGTTGAGTGGGATCCTGTGAGAGTGTTAGAGAGGGGCAGAGCCAAGTGTCAGTTCCCATCTGTCAGACTCCACAGCTGGCTCAGAGACACACTCTCTTCAGTGCCACATTATTTCCTAGCTGTTTCTCTTAGTTCATTCCACACTTTACTCCTGGTCAGTGTGGAGTTCCTCTTTATAAGGTCTGGTCAAGCTATTGTAGCCACAGAGACCTCCAGCTCTAGGAATCATTGTCTCTGTCACACACATCACACTCCAGACTACCTTCCATTGTGTTTTGTTTTGTTTTGTTTGATACGTGTCCTTTCTTCTCAGAACATAATCAGCATAATTCTTTCCACCAAGTAGGTGCTCAATAGATAATGCTAATATTTCTTCTGTGGCCTTGGAGTAGCATGATGGTCATAGATGATCACATCCAAATTAAGATTTTTCTTCTAATGAGCCCAGTGGTTTTGTGTATTCAGACAAATCACTCAGAGAGCTTAAATATGGTCAGGGAGCTTAAACTCTTTGATTATAAAATATAAGACACTTAGGGAATAATAGAATCCAGGTGTTTGCTGAAGGAAGCTTTATGTTAAAATTGACAGTATCAAAATATTAAACATTAAAATAATTAAACATTAAGAATAATTAGAACTGGGACTAGGGGAGAAAGGAAGACAGAAATTTGGTAGGATATTTCTAGTTTAAAAGTGCTTTGCATTTTAATTTCCTGTCCTAAGTATTAAGAAAAAAATGTAATATATATGCCCATATCTAATATGCTATTCATAACAGAATGCTCTGTATTACAGTTACATTTGAACACACTCACAACATCAAATAAAAGCCATTATTCTGTTAACTAGGAGATAGTAGCTCAAAATGCAGGCCAAATGTCCCTGAGGAAATTCACTCAAGGAAAGTGCTTGAATCAAGCTGATGATTAACCGGAATCCTCACTGTCACAAGTCTCTGCCGCGTATCTTTGTAATCAGGAGTACTAATGTAACCCAAATGATAAATGCAGAACACATTCTCTGAACCTTTAGTCAAAATGAACTGGTATTCCCAATCTGCTAACAATATGCATAAATATGCAACTTTAATTTTTTGGCACTCTTACAGGCTGTTATGGAATTTTCACAAAGGTAGAACAAATTTGCAATAGAATTAGGAAGGGAAAGCCAGGATTGATTATGTTCTAGGTGCCACCAACTCAATCAGGGGATTTCATGGGGAATTAGGAAAATTCTACATCATTCCAGAAAAAGAAAAATCAATCATGCCAATATGGGTTCATGTTTATTGTGCTATCTTTATAGTAGGGGGTTGCTGCCAGATCCAAGCTATGTTGTACTATGAAGGAAACTTTCCTCCATGCTCTGATACTATATTACTGTATAGAGATAAAATTGAAGGAGAACTTAGAGCAGCCTGTATTGAAAGAAAAGAATATCTCAGCATTTGGATGGATATTCAGTAAATAAACAGATACAGTCTGTGAAGGAAACTGTGACGGGTTCAGATTAAAGTCTCTTCTAATATGAAGAGCCTACAAGATCCAACTATAGTGTATCTCTTATAAGTGTTCTACACACAATATCTCACAATTAGTCACCCAGAAATACTGTGGAGGTGTTATGTTTCCCATTCACCAGATGACAAAACAGTCTCCACAGGGGTTCACTAACTTACCTGGGACCACACAGCTAGTATGGTATTGAATGAGCCTTCAGATCCAGAACAGAAGCCAAATCCTGTGCTCGTTCCAACAAACTAAAAGGGTAACAGTTGGAGTGAGCACATGATACAGGGAAGGTGGGTGATTTGCACATTCCTGCTAATTGAATGTCATTGGTTTGTAGATGCTGCCTTTTTCCATTGTGGTGGCAGAACTCCATCCAATGCGTTATGCTATAGGAATTGTATCCCATAGGAAGGCTTATTTGTTCACGCCTTTGCTATCTTGATTGAATACCAATTCCTAGGCACCCAAAAGAAAAGGGAGTCCGGAGGTTAGATACCTATGCCTTTTCTACTAGTTCCACAGCTTCTCTATTTTCTGTTTCCACAGATCCTAATATTTTACCCAACACCATGAGAATTACCACTGCTTCTCCCAGTGTCCTATTCTCAGTAACTTAGGACCCACTCATAATCCTCCTAACACACCAGAAAAACACAAGCTGGAACTGCTAGAATCTCAGTTTTGAAACTAAGAAGGTCCCAGTAAACTTTATCTCTACTATGCTGGAGGCAGGGACAGTTTATCTTTGCTTCTTGAGAAATAAGCCTGGCACATGGTAGTTATACGGCAAATGTATGTTAAACTGGAACAAAACTTCAGGATGCAAATCTCAGCTCTCTTTTTTTAGCTATGCAACCTTGTTCAAGGTGCTTAACCCCTGCAAGCCTCATATTTCTCATCTGTAAATAAGAGTAACGACTTCTGCCACTTCAAACTTATTGTGGAAAGCATATTATATAATTCCGGCAAAAACCCTCATGCTGTGCTTGATGCATAGCAAACAATAAACAGTTATTGCTGTCCTGAATAATCAACTAAATGTTGCAATGTGTGCATTCCCCTCTTCTATTTTTCAGAGGTTTCTGCTGTTTTTGAGGCTGGCACTTCAGTTACTTATATGTTTCAAGAACCCTACCCAGTGACCAAAAATATAAGCCTCTCATCCTCAGCGATTTACGCAGATGCAACTCCATCCAAGGAAAATATTGCATTTAGCTTTGTGACAGCCCAGGCGCCCAGCCTCTTGCTCTACATCAATTCTTCTTCTCAGGATTACCTGGCTGTCCTGCTCTGCAAGAATGGTGAGTACTGACAGCATGAAGTCTGATGGAGTGTCACAGTGGGCTAGAGGGACAGTGCGTGCCCTTCAGAACACTGCATAATTTCAACCTAAATTTGGTCCCACCTGGGCAGCTTAATCCTGGACCTCCAGCCAAAGCCCTGATTGTACTTTACCTTTATGACCTGCATTTGGTATTCATTGCTGAAGTCTCAAATGCATTGCCTTTAATTTGCCTCAACTGTGTAGCAGTAATTCTTTATTATTTATTCTGTGCTGGAATCCATTAAGTGTAAAAGAGACGATCATAAGCATATCTGAATTTCAGAAGGACACTCATCACATATATCGTGTCATCTTTGCTGCAGTCGCCTTTACTGAGGGCTGTTAAAACAAAAAGCAAAAATGTAGGCTGTATTAATAAGAGTTAATTGCCTAGGTCTTGGAGAGAAGTGGTGTATGTGAGTCATATCCCTGTGCAATATGGAGCATTGTGCTGAGAATCAGACTTTGAAGAGAATGTGAACAAGATGGAATATGCGAAGGCTAAAGGGGTACAGGAACTGGGCCCACTTCATGCAAGGGCTGTTGAAGAACACCAGTTCTGACAGCTGTTAGGAGAAATCAGGTTTTCTTCCCTCACTGTGTAATTCCACCTCACAATGAGGAGGACTGTTGGTCAAGGGCACTGTGAGATCAAAATCTTAGGGGATGGAACAACTATTAGAACAGACAAAGAGGGCAAAGATGTGGACATCCCTGTAGTCACGTCTCAAAGAACAGGTTCCCGTGATCAAGAGTATGTTCTTCCTCCTCTTGTAATTTGCCCCGATACAATGAGAGGAGTCTGGGCTTTAGAACCATCCCCCAGGTTGGACTATGCTGGGGCAGAGAAGAAAGGAGGCTTGGAATATACAGCATACACTCTGCCCTCTCCAGACCTTAGGGCAGAGACTCCACAGAGACTCCAGGTATTTATCTTGCTCTACTTTTTTGGGGAGTGGGGGGTAGGGGATGGGTGTTATTCTTCTTTGCTTCATCTTGCCCTGTGACTATGACACTGAAAATAAAGAAAGCTGTGTGGGCCTAACACATGGATCAAACCTGGTGGGCATGTGAGTTCAATCAGGCCTGAAGTACATTAATAATAAGTGTCCCACAGACAATAACAGGACTCATTCATTCTAAGAGCAAATGCAAGGGAAGGAAAAAAGAGAGAGGGTTCCTGGGGTAGTGACTAACCACTCCAAGACTATCGGATCTTGATGAGCCTACAAAGAGAAAGGAACCACTATGGGTTATTAAACCTCTTATTTATCAGCAGACCTTTGTATGATTAGAACCATTATATTAACTTGTCATATCTTAAACTTTGCCCCCATAATGTCTCTGTGAGGTGGATAAGTCTGGTTGAGGACGCTTAAGCATGGATTAACTGATTAACATAGGTCAGCCAGATAATTCATGACACGGTTGGGACCAAAGCCAGATCTCCTGATAATCAGCTTCACCATCTTTCCTCTAAGCTAGACCATTCTGCTCTGATGTGGCTGGACTATAGTAAGATAGTTACAGAGCCCTGAGATGCAAGATTTTCCCCAAAGCATCTTTTAGGTGTGATTCAATGGCACATTTTTACCTGCCAGGCTGTACCTATGGATACAGACAATGCATAACAGGAATATTCGATTTCATATACATACTGCTCCATATACTTTCTCTCTACACACACACACACACATACACACACATTCTGGGCACTATTCTAATTAATGTGCACAGCCCTTAATTCTCACAACAATCCTATGTGGTTGGTGATATTAATCTCATAGCTCCAGAAACTAAGGCATACAGACACTTAATAACTTGCTTAAAATCTCACAAGCAAGTAAGTAAAAGAGTTAGAATTCAGTCTTCCTTCCCTGACTCTGGTAGCATATTTTGTGTTCTTAACCATAGCTCTAAATGAAGAGTGTTATTTATTTTTTGAAACATAGGGTGTTTTAAATAACTTGAATTTATTTAATTGGGAAGGCATTCTTGAATTCTTCCTGATCTCCTATTTTCTTATACTCTAAAGCCTCACTTCCCTGAATGTTCTACTTGACACCATAGTCATTTGCATTTTTTAAGCCCTGGCTAAGTGCAGGAAGCAAGGAGATACCTGTGCCTTGTTTGTTTGTTTGTTTGTTTTAAGCTTAGGTCTCAGGGACAGTGTGAAAATTCAGGCTTCACATCTCAGTCTATAACTCACAGGAGATGGGTGTCCAGGCAGTGTCTAGTCATGTAATGCCCACTTCCCCTCACCCTGTCTCAGAGAACCACCTCCCCCATTGCTCTAAGGAACTCTTGTCACACTGGACAGTGGTAGATGTCTTTCTGACTTAGGATCCTGGGCATTTCCTGCCATCTTATCATACAGAGATGCAGTGGAGATACACACTCATTCATTCATTCTTTCAATGACTCCCACCTGCACAGTATCAGGAACTATGGGGAGCAAGAAAAATAAACAGGATGCTGTGCTGTCTAAACATGTTAAGGAAAAAGAGAGACTCAAAAATGGCCTTACAGGGGCGCCTGGGTGGCTCAGTTGTTAAGCGTCTGCCTTCGGCTCAGGTCATGGTCCCAGGGTCCTGGGATCAAGCCTCGCATCGGGCTCCCTGCTCCATGGGAAGCCTGCTTCTCCCTCTCCCACTCCCCCTGCTTGTGTTCCCTCTCTCGTTGTGTCTCTCTCTGTCAAATAAATAAATAAATAAAATCTTAAAAAAAAAAACAAAACTGCCTTACAGTGTTTGATGGACAATCTAGATACATGAGGGAATCAGGTTGTCCAGATTTCTCAAGCCGTCTTACCAGAAGTTAGATTTTGTCTAACCTTGAGGATGAATCTCCTAGGAATTCAGGGGTTATAACAATAAGGCAAATGCCTTGAGCAAGAGTGCATTCCTTGTCATTGGAGGCCTTCAAACAGTAATTAAATGACAATTTGTTGGAAAAAGTATAATAAGAATACTGGCTGTGGTTAAGGGAGAAAAATAACCTCTGAGTTTCTTTCCAAGTCTGAGATTTTGTGATTCTCTATTCTTGTGTAGTCTTACATTTTTATTTCTTTCTGCTAGGGATGCATTTGTAGCCTTTGAAATGCTTCTACAAGGAATTAAGAATTGGAATTGGTACAGCTTATTCCCAGTATGCTCATGGTATTAGGCCACTGACCTAATTGCCAGCGAATAATATGGGGACCTTGCTTCATGAGGAACTAAGAATATTTTTAATAAGACTTTGATAGACTTCAGGGAGAAATATTCCTCTGAAAATACTAATGGAAGTTAAGAATACCAACAGCTTGGGGGGAAAAAAAAAGTAGCAAACATGGTAAAGGCTTAACTAGGGAAAGTCTTTCTCTGGAAGGGTTTTCTAAGATTGATTCACACCTCTCTGAGATGAAGTTAAAAGTTTTCTGTTAGTACAGGTTTCTTAACCTTTCTTTGATATAAGACACCTCTGGGAATCTGGTGGCAATTATGATGAGAAGATCACTCTTAAAAGGAGTCCTTTTTGTTTTCCCCAGGAGGAAGAAAATGCCCATGGCCATGTCATACAAAATGGCTCCAATTTCGGCACTGTGGGTTAAGAAGCCAAGGGGTGGAAACAAGTGGATGAACTGAATAAATACTGAACAAAATCCTTGGCTTGCAAATCTATTTAATATGGGTGTACAGGCCAGAAGAGAGAAGAGCAGTGGGACTCAAAAGTCATTCTTCCAAGTCTCTCCCTGGCAGGGGTTTGGTTTGGCATGCTTGGAATTCCTCTTTGCCCTTTACCATTTTTCTTGAAATTTCTCCAACTAGAGACTTATTCAGGTTAAGTCCTTGCTGTCTTTTCAAATGAAAACAGGTCCTTTTTCCTAAAGGAAGAAAAAGATTTCCATTTCTGGGATGGAAGATTAGAGAATGAAAAGGAGACATTTGAGGTTAGAGAGTCCTTAGAAGAGTGAAGGTGGTTGTGGTCCCATAGGCTGGAGCATTGGACAGCAGGCAACTTCTCAGAGATGTGGCAGTTGGAGGAGAAGGGGTATATGAAGGAGGAAAGGATCCAGAGAAGGCAATGAGAATATTCTAAAGGCAATTAGAGTATTCTTAAATTTCACAACATTTTATTGAGTGATGGCTCTGCCTTCTGCATGGTACTATGGAGTTCTTCAAACTTGTCATTTAACAAATATTTGCAGAGTATCTACCATGTGGCAGGCACTATTTCATGCATGGGAGAGACGGATTCAGACAGCATCCTGTTCTGCTTTTAAGGATCTAGTCTGGGGACAGAGACACAACAAAGAAGGACAAAAATGTGTCAGAGACGTGGGATCGAGTCTGTTCCAGGTAGATTGAGGCAAAGAAGGAAAGAGTAACTGATTCTTTCTGGGAGGGAGGGTCACAAAAGGCTTCCTGGAGATAGTAAAACTTGAGTTGGCCCATGAAAGATAAATCAGTGCTTTCCAGGCAGACATTAGATTTTTGTTTACTCAAATGAGAGGTTTCTTTGATTGTTCCTCATTTTCTCCACTTTATTTCCATTGCATGTGAAATATTCATATTTTTCCCAATCAGTTCCCTTTCTGCTCTTTTATCATGTGTCCTTCTTGGCTCCTTGGTAGTAAAAATAAAAAAAAAAATCAAATTTAGAATATGTGCTAAGTCTAAGGCCATCAATCTATGGTGAAATCATTTGGATACAAAATCCAAACAGGGCCCCCGGGTCACCTTCCTATGGTGGCTTTTCAGCTGCCCTCCAGCACTGAATGGTTTGTCTGACTTTGCTTCAGCATTTCCTTTTTATCAATTTTTTTAAACATATACATCCATAAGGATGCACTGTCTGCATTTGTGATTGCATACACCTTGGAGGGAATAATGATGAACCCAGACACTTTACATTTTGAACAGACTGACTCAGGGGAGACAGGGGTAAGGAGGAATCCAGAGAGGGAACGTCTTCAAAGTAAAAACTTCAACAGCT